GAAACTCAAGAACTCCACAAACGGCACTGCTTTCTCCTTCACGACCACCTTCGTCTTCGCCTTACTCCCTGAATACCCCACTCTCGGCGGTCACGGAATCGCTTTTGTAATTTCGCCAAGCAGAGGCCTCCCCGGTGCTATGGCAACTCAATATCTCGGCCTGTTCAACGACAGCAACAATGGAAATGACACCAATCGTGTTGTTGCAGTGGAACTCGATACGATGAAGAATGTTGAGTTCGAGGACATAGATGACAACCATGTCGGAATTGATGTTAATGGGTTGACGTCCAAGGTGTCCCATGGAGCTGGGTATTATGTGGACGGTACCGGCCAATTTATAAACATGACGCTGATCAGCGGACAGCCAATGCAAGTTTGGGTAGAATACAATAGTCTAGAACAGAGAATGAATGTCACCTTAGCTCCAATTAATGTTCCTAAACCCAAACTCCCCCTTTTGTCTCTGTCAAGGGATTTATCGCCCATCTTCAACGATACTGTATACATCGGATTCTCTGCGTCAACTGGTGCGGTCGTAACATCTCATTATATTTTGGGTTGGAGTTTTATGATTAACGGCCAAGCAGAGGAGCTCGTTATTGCAGAGCTACCTAAGCTTCCTCGCAGAGGACGGGAGCAAACATTGAAGTATTTAAGAATTGGATTGCCTTTGATTTCCCTGACTCTGGTTTTTGTAACAGTTTTAGGGGTTGTTTATTTCATAAAGAGGAAGAGGGAATTCGCAGATGTAGTTGAAGATTGGGAGCTCGATTACGGGCCTCAAAGATTCAAGTACAAAGATCTGTATGTGGCCACAAATGGGTTCAAGGACAAAGGGTTACTGGGTTCTGGTGGATTTGGTAAGGTTTATAGAGGAACATTACCCACCTCCAAATTGGAGATTGCCGTTAAAAAAGTCTCTCATGAATCAAGACAGGGGATGAAGGAATTTGTGGCGGAGATTGTTAGCATCGGTCGTCTCCGTCACCGGAATTTAGTACAACTCCTGGGGTATTGCCGAAGAAAGGGGGAGTTGCTCTTGGTCTATGACTACATGCCGAATGGAAGTCTGGACAAGTATCTCTATGGCCAGCCGAATGTCACCCTGAATTGGAGACAGAGGTTTAGGGTCATCAAAGGCGTAGCCTCGGCTCTACTTTATTTGCACGAAGAATGGGAACAAGTTGTGATTCATAGAGATGTAAAGGCCAGCAACGTTCTCTTAGACGGTAAATTAAACGGAAGATTAGGAGATTTTGGGTTGGCGAGATTGTATGATCATGGAACGGATCCACAGACGACACATGTGGTGGGTACTCTGGGGTACCTAGCGCCGGAGCATACCCGAACAAGGAAGGCCACAACCAGCACCGATCTGTTTGCTTTTGGTGCCTTTTTGCTAGAAGTTGCCTGTGGAAGAAGGCCGATTGAGCCACAAGGTGAAACAGACGATTTGATTCTGGTTGATCTAGTGTTTTCGTTTTGGCAAAGAGGGGAGATTCTTGAGATCAGAGATCCAAAATTAGGGACAGATTTTGTAGCAAAGGAGGTGGAGTTGGTATTGAAGCTGGGGTTACTCTGTTCGCATTCAGACCCCACATCCAGGCCAAGCATGCGCCAAGTGGTGCAGTTCTTAGAAGCAGATGTTCCTTCACCGGACTTATCAGCACTAGGCCTGACTGTCAGTGGCCTAACGTTTGCCCATGGTGAAGGTTTTGATGACTTTGCTACGTCCTACCCATCTTCCATGGAAAAGGCATACACGCATTCCTCTTCAATTGCTGAATCCCTACTTTCAGGAGGTCGATGAACCTTAAACCTTTGCATGGAGAATTTTGTTTGTGTTTTTCTTTATATAGTTGTTACCAGATATGTTAAATTAGCTTGTCTCATTGTGCAAACAGGTAAACATATATATACTGTTGTTTTAGATGGAGAGGGATTTAGGGAGTGCTATCTCATATAAAACATTCAGATGTATAAAATATATATATATATACTGTTGGTTTTTTTCTAAGACCGTTAGTGATGACTGGGTTCAATGCAGCTTTAAGGCCCAAAATTCTGATAGGCTTGGTAGCCCAGAAGTATGGTGAGTTGAGTTTGAAAACTTTCTAAAAAGGATGTGCGTGACAAATCATACGATTTCAACTTTCCTAATAAAGAACAGAAAAGTGGTTTTGAAATCAACCTATAAGAATAAAAGTGTATGAATACTTAGTGGAAATATTTAAATGCATTAATAAAATAATTTTACAGATAATTTTGAAACTTGTTTTTTTACTAGTCACCTTAAAAGTCTGCCATCCCAATAGAAAAAAGAAAAAAAGTTATTTCTGATTCGGATCTCTGAGAAAACATCCTAAGAACTGTGATTTGAATATATTTTTATTGAAAAAATTAAAATATTATGTTTTTAAAATGAGAATAAAATTATTCTTATGATATTTTATTAAAATATATGATTTCAAGATTTTTTTTTCTCATAAATTTTTAAAAATTCAATTAATAAGCACTAATATCTAAAGAATGTATTTGTAAAAATTCAATCAAACAAATACTGAACATAGAAACATTATTATGTAATTGTAAAGTAAATAATAAACTTTTTTATCAATTAAGTGACAACCACGTTATAAAGAACAAATTAGGGTAAATGAAAGCAAAAATAAAAAAGTGAAGTTTTTCTTCTTCTTCTTCTTTTTTTTTTTTGGAAAAATCACATATCAATTCTAATCGTAATAAAAAAATAAAAATCTTGATTTCAAAGACACCATCTCTAATTAATATTTTTAAAAATTAACCATTGAATTTAATGTTTTATTAATATAAATCATACACATTAATTTTTAAATTAATTTAACATTTACAATTAGATAATGATCGGTGTACACTTGATTCAATACACTATATAATAAATTTATTAAAAAATTATTATTTTTTAATTTGAAATTAAAGGTACCAGCTAAATCAATTGCATTTATAT